TTTTTGTTTGTTTTTTTTTTTTTTTTTTTTTTTTTTTTGTGGCTTATTATTCTTTGACCTTAGCTCTTTGCCTCCCCTCACCTTCTCATTTCATCCACTTCACCTCGTCGTCCTGCCCTGATCATTGTTCCAAGCTGACTTTTGTTGCTACAGCTACTGTTGAGGCTGCAGCTGTTACGGCTACTTCTCAGAAGGATGCCCTCTGCGACTCCACCTCTTCTGAGACTGAAAACCACTAGACACTCTTCAGCTCCTTGGCATTTGCACCTCACCCTGCCAGCCCACTCCTCACAGCCCAACCTCCTCTGGGGCTGTCAAAGGTCTACTTACTATGTACTACCTGGGGGTGAATGGTTCCAGTGTTCACAGACTTCAAGGAGATGAAGGATGAGTTTGTCTATAGAGACTGTCCCAGAACTAGAATAGTCAAAGTAGATTTATTTGCTTTGACTATTAATTTTTGGATTGTCAGAACCCTTTAATTTATTAGGAGTTCACTCCAGAAATGAATCATTATCCTTAAAGCTTTTAAATTATTCCCCAAGGATCCATAGTGATATATTTCTTATTATATTTCTTATTATAATAATATTTTATATATTATTTATATAATATATAGTATTATAATAATATAATATATTTTCTTATTATTATAATATTTCTTATTATAAAGTTTAAAAAGTAGCTTTAAGGACTGACAAGGTGGCTCAGAGGGTAAAGGTACTTTCCACCAGGCCTGATGACCTGAGTTCCCTTTCCCTAGATCCACATGGTGGAAAAAGAGAATCAACTTCTGCAAGCTATGGCTGTGCCACCAGTAGCCCCTGGGCCCCTGCACACACGCATACTCACACATACAAAATAAAATATGATTTAATAGAGCAGCTTTGATAGAATCTAACTATGACTCTCCATCTATCCAAAGTAACTCAACTGAGCCAGGAAGCTCAGGTTAGAAGCCATCATTAGAATAGCAAGTGACGTCGGAGAGGTCACAAAGTGAACACACAGAACTCAGTCACTTCCATGCCAGAGTAATTAGAGAAGAAAATGGTGACAGGAAATCCATCACAGTGGCAACAGACACATGTAAAATGCCTACAAATTTACTTGATAAAACAATAGGATGTAAAAGAAGAAAAAGCGTGTGAAACTCCACGGACTTAAATAAGGATGAATTTTGAATAAATTGTATGCCAGATGGTGTCTGTAGTTGGGATAGCCCTGTGTAACTCAGATGGTCCCAAATCTCTGAGATTTGCTGGCTCAATTGTTTCTTTAATAGCTCACTAATAGCTTTATTTCTTTTATTGGGGGACATCACTTACTTCTTAAAAAACCCCTAAGCATTTCTAGAGATGACTAATGGGCTTATGTTTCCCTTGATCAAAATTAACCACAATTATTTTCTGTTCTCTTATTACTTGAACATCTATATATTCATTTACTCCCTACTTACCAGATGCTTATCGAGTGCTTACCATGTCCTAAGTACCCCAGAGTTGCCCACTACCCATTGCTACGGCTGCTGGCGGGGGGTGGCCTCTGGAAGTCACCCTTGGCACAGAACACAATCTTTTGTCTCCCACTGCCCCTGTGAAACACTAGTAGTAGCAGTTGGCTATTTTATGCAAGATTTATCCTAAGGTCTGGAGGATGTTCTTCATGGATGAACACTGTGGGAGAAGGAGCGCAGATGTGGCCTGTGAGTAAAGATAGCGTAAAACAAGAAGTAGAGGAAAACCAGAGTTCATGGGCCTCATCCCATGAGGACCATTTCTCATCCCATCCTTCATCTTTCAGCCTTACCTGCCAGCATGTTTTGGAACTGCCTTTTTGTAATGACATTTTTAAGAATTCTGGAATTTTTGTTTCTTAGGTTCTTTTTTAAAAACACAGAAATGTTATAAGAATGTCCTTTCATTTTAATTCCAGGTGTAGGGATGTGGGGCTGGTTTGGATTGTCCACAACAGCTGACTGTGTTTTGCCTCGTGCTCCAGCAGGCAGGCGCACCATCTTGCCAGCTGCATCTCTTCCACTTTTTTTTTTTTTTTTTACAGTCTCCCATTTATCACATCAGCCTCTGCCATTTCTGGACCTCCTCTGTAACCCATCTTTCTTAGCACAGATATTTAGATACTCAAGTCTGTTTATTTGTTTTCAACTAAAGGTAACTTGATTATCCCTGTCTCGCTTTCTTACCCTTTGGGGTGTGGGGTCTTTATCTGCTTAAGGACATCACCAAGGTGTTGTGCTCCTGAAAAGCGAACTTCTTACCCGAGGGAAGACGCTGATATTCATGGCAACATATTTTAAAATATTTTCCTTTCTCCTTCCCACATTGGGATTTTGAAGATGCCAAGTCTTTTCTCAGAAAAATGGAAGAGATCTCCAACTATAACCCCCACATTTTTCTTTAATATCATCTCCTTAAAGTTAATTGAACAGAAATCATTTAAACACCAATAAGAGAAATTTCAAAGAGAACGATAATAGAAAAGTAACTGTACTAATGGTTTAGCATAAACACCGCTCCACTGGTAGAATGAGAAAGCAGAAGTTGAAGGTACCACAAAGTCCAAAAACTCATCTAAAAATAGAAAAGCATTAATAAAATAATTAATGCAATATAAGATACCGTAAGAAAAACACAGGGAAATGTTTTTGTAACAAGAGACCAACAAAGGCCTTCCTAACCATGGGAAAGTGAGCAGCATTCTTATTAAATTTGTTCTTTAATACATGATGTCTCACACGGGAGTAAAGCCCAACAGCACCATGCTAAGTAGAAAGGGCCAGTTGCAGGTGCCAAGTATTATATGATTCCATTTATCCAAGTCATCCAGAATAAGCAAATCTAAAGAGACGGCCAGTTGATTAGTGGTCATCAGAGAAGCACACAACTGGCTAACAATGAGTAGTGTCTCCTTACAGTGATGGAATGTTCCAGAATAGGTAGTGATAGTGGCCAAGCAGCTCTTTAGAATTTTATTTGCATGAGAGTTTCAAAAAGGCATATGATGTGGTTTGATCAAATCCATCCCCACCTCCCTCGGCCGTAACTCCTCCCACTTCTTACCTCCCACTCCCCAGGGAGTATATACACCTTTTAAAGCCGACTTAGTCCACTTAGAACTCCCAGTGTCTGCATAAGTGTAAGACCATCCCCTGGAGGTGGAATCCATGGAGAAAACCGTCTCTCTGTTCTCCAGCAGTCATTGGTGTCTGAGCCCTTCCCCGTATGTGCTGCTCTTTGAGCTGGCTTGATCTTGTGTGGCTCTTGTGCATGCAGTCACTGCCACTGTATGCAATAGTCCTGCTACATCTTGAAAGCACTGTTTTGTGTCAGTCTTCCACTGTCTCAGTTTCTTACGAACTTTCTTCCTCTCTCTTCCACAGTAATCCCAGAGCCTTTCAGGGAGAGGGTGTGATATAGAGTTCCCATTTGGGAATAAATGGGACTAAATCTAATCATTCTTCTCTGCACGTTGATCAGGTGTGAGTCTCTCTGTCAGTCACCACCACCTTCTGCCAAAGAGAGATAATCTCTGGTAAGGGCTCACCAGCTCTTTGTATACATTAAAGGCAGAATTTTATGATATATGAATTATGTCTCAATTTTAAAAAGATAGTAAGGCAAGTTAGTTCTACTTGGGGCATTATAAGAAAATGAAAACCTGGCATGCCAGTAGAAAGTAGCTAAAGAATATAAATTCTAACTTTTTAAGATAAATGACTACTAAGCGGACAAGATACAAATTAAAACAATGAGATGGGATATGCGTTTACCTGCAAACATAAAAAGAACTTCTGAGCTTTCATTCTTGGATAGAATGTAGTCTAAGTGGATCTCCTAAGGTACTGATTCTAAAAAGAAAATGCACTGTTTCTCCAAAGCCTTATGTTGTATCCATGCAGTTTCCTTTCTAGGAACTTCTCTTAAGTAAATATTTGCTGCTTAAATAGCAGCAAAGTAAAGGTAGGAAAGTCCTGTTGACACAGCAGCATGCTTCTGCTAGGGAGAAAAGTCAAAGTGAGGAGTATACAAAACATGACAGCCATGTGACACGCATATGCAAAGTCCAGAGAGATGCACTTCAAAATCTCAGTGATTGCCTCATGTTGGCAAGATGACATAATTTATCTTTTCTTTATTATTCTTATCTATTTTTTCAGTCAACTATGTTTTCCATATACTCCATAACATCATCCTTTATAATAAAAATTCACTTCTATCTTTTCTTACTTTTAAATGTCATTTATTTGAAACAAGGTCCTGATATGTAGCTCAGGCTAGCCTTGAACTCTCCCTCCTGCCTTCTGAGTGCCAGAATTACAGGTGTGCGCCACCATGCCCAGCTAATAAATTCATCTTGCATCCTACATTTTCAGGTGTGAGAAAGCTAGCTGGTTCTTGCATTGGTTCAGTTGAATCCCTCTGCAGGAATACGACTAGAAAAAAACCAAAACAAAACAAAAATCCTTGCTTTTCTTTTAAGACGAGAGCAGTGGTTCTCAACCTTCCTAATATCATGACCCTTAATAGAGTTTCTTATGTTGTAGTGACCCCCAACCATAAAAAAAATTTTGTTGCTCCTTTGTAACTGTAGTTTTGCTACTATTATGAATTGTAATGCAAATACCTGTGTTTTCCAATGGTCTTAGGCGACCCCTATGAAAGGATCAGTCGACCACCAAAGGGGTCAGGACTGACAGGACTAAACTGGACTTGACCACAAACTAGAAAGTCACAAGATCTATGGAAAGCCCCCAACACCAGGTTTCTTACTGCCCATAGAGGTTGTCTTTGGGGCAGGGGTGGAAGGTGGTTATCGGGGTTACAAATTTGCTCAAAGGCTCAGTGGTAATTGTTTAACATGGAACATTATAAATTAAACTGTTTTTTGAAGAATTTTCTATTTCAACTGCAGCTATACGGAATTCTTCTCACTAGGAATTCGTGTCCCCGATGTAACAATTTCTTCTCCCATTTTCCTAGACAGAATCATGAATAAACTGGAGGATAAGCAGGACCAGATGATACCATGAAGAGAAGTTTACAGGTCCTCTATTGCCAACTGTTAAGTAAGTTCATGCTGCATTTGTTGTTTACTTGGAACAGGCCGAGGGCATCATTCACTGAGTGTCAGGATCGTTGTGGGGGGAGACTGGGGCTGTGTCATTTTCTCTCTGCCTCGTCTGGATAAGCCACCAAGCATCAGGCTGCTCTCATGTCTTACGCATCTAATCATACTCTAGGCCGCATCATAATCCTAGTGTGCCTTAAGTAGCATGAATTCAAGATGCACACCAAAAACATTATTGTTGTTTGTTCCATGGTACACCGTAAGGTGTTTGCTGTATGGCCGGGTGTTGAAATGGCAGATCATATTTTCTGGATTTCTGTCACGTGGACTCCGACACAGTCTTCGGCCTGGAATATTGCACATAACTGTGCATGATTCTCAAGAGTGAGCGCTATAAATGTGGCTTCTTAGTCTTGTGTCAGAATAAGGAGTGTGTGAGTATGGCTTAATGTGTGTTGCTCATGTGACTTAGGGTTGTGGCATAAAGAACACTAATGACAGCATCTAGGATGGGCATCGCTACTGAGTTGAATGTAACGACCAGTCCTGGTCTATGCTGGTGATGCCAGACAACCCACATGGCACGGCAGATGCTGGTCACGCCGAGTCACTTCCAAGCCTCTGAATTGGAAACCCATTGTGTCTGTCTAGCCTGGTGGAGGAGGCAGAGGGGAAGATGGGTCTCTCCTAGAGGGAGGGGTGCCTGACTTTTGCTGAGAGAAGAAAATGAATCAAATGAAAGCGATTGAGATGCAAATCACTAGGCAGCGGACCCACAGAGCTTCGGGCTCGGGTTAGATTGTTGTAGAGGGTGCAAAGTACCTTATCTACACAGTTTTGAGCCAAGCATTTTAATTGGCTTGTTTCTTCCACCAAATTCTAATTTCTAATCTCAGAAACTCAGAAAGCTAGGTTAGACCGCTGGAAAGTTGCCAAACCTTATAAGGACCCTCTTCTGATTTTTGTTTGTTTTCTGTGCGTTCTGTGGGACCCCAGGGTTGTTCACTTCCTTCTTTTTTTTTCTTTCCTCCTCTTTTTTTCTTTCTCGTTTTTTAAATAATAAGATTATTTTTTAGAGAAGGCACTTTGCAGATTGTAGAGGCTATGTTATAAAGGAGTAATTAAGTCTGCCCTGATGGGAAAGGGGACCTATGAAAGATAAATCGCCCCCAACACACACACATGCTACGTCTCAAAGAAGGAGAGGTAGGCTTCACTGCAGGAAAACTGGGGCATGGCAGAACCGCTCACCAGATGTGAGAGGTAGAAAAATATGTGAGGAATCACCTATGCTGATTGTATGTCCCAAGTCTGCATGTTCTTTAAAGCCCTGTATTATCTAAAAGGCATTGGATAAATTATTCTACCATTTGTAGTTAGGCCAAATGCTACAGTGTCCATTTTTCTAAACTGAGCACTATAAAAGCCGGAGAGGTTAGCTATCACCTGGACCGGAACCGGCACTGGTTGTTCTTGTTTGCAGAGAGACCCAAATAGCACTGACGAGGAAGCTTTTGGTAGTTAGGAAGTAGATCATAACTGTCACTAAACCGCCCCCATTATTGATAGGCACAATAACTCATATATGCAATTGGTATCAGCATTGTCCTTGAACAAAATGTCTGCCTGTCAAAACCAACTTAGAGATCGAAGAAGCAATATAAACTTAACATACTATTATATGTAACTCAGCAATATTCTTAAATTGAAAAGCAATCCTTGACTGAGTAGTTTGATTATTGTCATATAACAGACTGCCCCAAACTATGTAAGTTAAAGCAATAACTAAGAATTTATTTTCCTAAAGCATTTTCAAGTCAGACATATGAGCCTATGGGGAACAATTTTATGTTTAAACCACAGTCTTATGAAAATATGAAATTTTTATACATCATTGTCTATTCAAGTCAGTCTTGCTCAGATCCTTAGAGCTGAGAATAAATTATTTTTAGTAAGTTATATATTTAAGTTACCTGTTTGCTGTATATTTATGCATTTAATCTCTTTGTGTGTGGGGGGAGGATGTTTCGAAACAGGGTTTCTCTGTGCAGCCTTGGCTTTCCTGGATTCGCTCTGTAGGCCAGGCTGGCCTTGAACTCACAGCAAATCTGCCTGTCTCTGCCTCCCTGAGTGCTGGGTTATAGACCTGTGCCACCACACCCAGCTGGCATTTAATTTTTTAAAGCATGATGTACAGGAAGCCTATCCCACTTGCTCGCCCAAGCATCCTTCGTGTGCGCTAGTCTCCGTGACTGCATGCAGCAACCATTCGCACAGCCTGGAGAAGCACGTGGCGGCCCTTTCTTTTGGAGCGCTTAGGGCGTTGACTTGGGCTCCAGCATCACTGGATTTCCAAGCGAAAGCATGTGCCCCTCCTGTTATCTTTACGTGGGTCATGGAGATTGTCTCAGCCTTAGCTTTACATATGTGTGCGTGCACACACACATGCACACACGCCCTTGTTACTTCTCTCCTAGCCTCTTTCGGCGTAATGAGAAGCTGACTAGGAGTGAAGTTCTTCTCTTCTTGGAACCTGTCTTTTTTTTTTTTTTTTTTTTTTTGATGGGTCTGTCTCTCACACATCTAATCTCTGGAACCAGACAGAAGCCACTGAAAATATCTTAGTTGAGAAACGGTCCCCGATCAGTTCCCCAGCAGCTACCCAGTGGCTTTATTCTTGAACGGCAAATCACTGTACAGTAACGTGCTCCAAACACCTGCTCTGTTTTTTCATGCTTATCCTTATCCTTCAGGATGCTCCGTTTCCCCACCTCAACCCTCCTAGGCCAGTTGTTCTAGACTGTGGTCTGTGGTCTGAAGCTCCCATAATGCTCCATTAAACTGATCTGACCAAAGTAATCAGTGCCTTGTTGCTTACTAGTAAAGAAAGAGGCTCTTTCTTGTACACTCTTAGGAATAGTCACATTCTGAAGGGGGTGGTTTTCAACTTTCTCTTTTTCAGTCTCGGAGACTGAGCCTGGTATCTTGCATGTGCTTGGCAAACACTCTACCACACCCCCAGCCCTCTTTTAAGTCTGAGAAAGGGAGTGTGTGGGGGTCGTGGGTTGGAGCTGTGTGGGTCTATGGCTTCAACGAGAAGAACACATCAAAAAAGACCGAATGGAATGGAAATGTTGATATGAAAACCATTTTTTTTTCTTGTCAAAAAATGACTTGTTTCACCGAGAGAACCGTCCGTGTGCAACGGTATGCGTACAGGTGCACTCTCCTGAGTGATAGCGTGCGGTGCTGCCTGTGAGCAGTGTTGTGTGGAGGGCAGAGGTCAACCTCAGGCATCTTTCTATCCACTCCTGTTTAGTACAAGGTCTCTGGCTGAACTTGGAGTTACAGCGAGACAAGCCAGCCAGAGCGCTCTCCGGATCCTCCCGTCTCTGTCTCCACAGCTCTGGGGTGACAGTGGGGTTGTACCCTGGCTTTTCCGAGGGTATGGGGGGATCCCCGTCCATCTACGACAAGCACCTCTTACTCGGTGTAGTCCAGTCTAGAGCTTGGGTCATAACGGGACTCCATACGTATTTAACATTATTATCCCTCCCCATAAAAATCTAAGATGCACTGTTATCTCATGAACCACTAAGACCAAAAAACAAACAAACAAAAAAATTGTCGTCTAAGCTTTCACAAGCAATCAGTTACATCTTGCACTGTGGAAACGTGCGTGGGTAACATACATAAGTCGGGTAGATTGTGCTAACTGGATAATGTGGTCCTCAAGGCTTTGCCACTCCACTGTCCTTTAAGGCCAAGACTCAGCCATCTATAGTCCAGGCTCCTGCTTCTGCTGGGACCTTTGAAAGCCGGAGAGAGCTCAGAGGAATTGGGTCAATACAAACTGGAGTCGGCTCATGTATTCTGTCTTCATGGTTTTTCTCTCCTGACAAATGAGGGGAAATTTTTTTCCCTAAGATTAAAGAGGGGGAACTGATGTAAATTGTAACTGACACAGTATCTAGGTCCAAACAACTGTTGACTCTGAATCTTGCCTTTCAGATGTTACAGGCAGTCCTACTGCTACTGAGGGGCATTTTCAAGGTGGAGGTGATAAATTAATTAATTAATTAATTAATTAATTAATTAATTAATTAATGAGTTTTGATCCTCATTCTCTACAAAAGAATGTATTCCCGTGCCACGGACACTATATGGTCCCAATCTCCATGGAGTGTGGCAGTGTCAGATTCTGGATAAAGAATGCATGAGTTTCATCCTGGCCCTTTTAAAATATTGGGATCATTTTCATACACAACATAGCAATTTGAACATGCTTTCTGTGGCTTAACAGCTGCTGGGCTGTCTCTTCCTAAGGCTTTACCAAGCCGCTGTGATAACTGTTGACCCTGTCACTGCTGTGGGACCACATTAGGACCTGATTTTATTTTTCTTCCTTACTTCATGCTGGGTGATTTGTTTGCTTGCTTCTTTTTTTCAAATCAAAAATTGGAGGCTTGGTAGTTTTTCTTTCTTGAAAAGATTTGCAAGTACTCTCTAGGAATAGAATAGGTATCGGGTCTTGGTATCTTTTTATTCATTCATACACATTTAAGGCAGAAATGGTTTCAAATATGACCTTAGCCCAAAAGGTGTAGGCACATACAATCTTTAGAATGCTTTTTACATTGTAGGTTGTGATTCTTAAATTTGCACAAGTAAACAGTTCACTTTTTACCAATAAAATCTTCATAAGACATTCCCATTGTAAGCAACAAAAGTAAAAACTGAAGAATAACACTTTGAAGAGACTCAATTTTATGGCTTCAAATTCCTTCTGTTATAGGATCACCAGGAAATGTCCATGAGGGAAGTTGCACCCGTGTTTAGGAACCCTATTGGCCCTTACAAATAAACCCAGTTTTCTACGGAAGGCCTCCAGTAAATTATATGGAAGGAGAATGTGTAGGGTTTGCCTGTAAAGGATGTGCTCTGAGCTCTCCTCTCTCCTCTGGCCAGTTATGTAACTTCATGAAGTAAGTCCTCAAC